CCCCCCCCCCGAATTAGGAGGGATATCTTTCCAGCAGAACGACCGAAATGCATGACGATAGGACTTCTCCCAACACGAAAATCGAACTCAGGTCTTCTGCCTCCTATGCCGAGGTGCCTAGACGCTACACCACGCTCTGACGACTGGGCTTTTTCGTGGCGGAAATCACATTTTAATGTAATTTTCGTATGTCTATCGAAGCGAAATTAAAAAGGAGGGACAAAAGCGAAATAGTAATGGTAACAGTTTTCTTACCAAATTCGACAAACCTCTAATATTTTTTACTTATTTATTTTTATATCTTCCTCCTCTGTTTCCAATTTAGCATTCAGGGCGGACACATTGTAATAAGGAAGGCCAGTTTTGCCTATCTTCCATCTGAAATGCTGTAGTTGCTTAGGATTTCCTTGACTCTCCATTTTTTTTTTCTTTTGCGTGGCCTACCTCTTCCTGTGTAGCCTGTGTACTTGGTGAAAACAGCAGCTCTCGAGCCAGGCTGGCAAGATGACATTCATTACAGAAGGCAAAACCAATTATTATTTTGTTTCTCTATGAAATGCAGGAAGGACTCTCTACCAACAGCTGCTTTTTTGTTGTTACATTCAATTGTCTTCCTGTCTCTTCTGTGATTTTCAGGTTCTACCGGACGCATTTCATCTCTCATGCAGTGATTGGGCTAAGATATGTTTTATTTAAAGTCCAATTCTGGCATAATGTTGGTGTAAGCATTAAAGTGAAAAGGTATCTCTTTGTATCTTTAGATAAAATTAGGATGACATAGAAGAGGTGCCAACTTAGAGGTGAAACATTTGCCTTTTTATTTCTATTTCTCTATGTTTGGACCCGTTCAGTTTAAAAATGCAGAATCAGAGAGGAACGACATGGTATTCGAACACTTCGTTACCTTTGAATTACAAAGTTCTGTCTGCTCAGTACCTAGTTTACTTAAATCTGACATCAAACGTTTTTGAGTTTCGCAATACGTCAAGCATTTTCGAATGAAATACTTTGAATAACTTGACAACAACTCCGAATTATCTTGCAATTTTGATAGAGCAGATGCTGATAGAACATTTGGTTCCTGACCTCATGGTCTTAGTAACTCAAAACAGCCAAAAATGTCAGATAGAACTTTATAATTCTGAGGTAGCGACTTGCACTTTGATTTCAACTGTGAAGAGTTGAACAAAGTTGTTATCACAGATGCCGACATTACAATACCGGTGAGCCGAACTTGTAATGGACGTTCATGAATTTCATTGGCAAACAATACTTTCGTTTTGGGTTTTTTTGGGGGTTGTTTGTTATACCTCTTGGTGGTTGTAACCGTTTTCCACCTCATAAAAAAAACATTTTTTGTCACGGTATGGTGAAAACAGGCACTTGTCAATTTTTGGGCATATGGAGTTATTGGTATATAAAGTTCATTCATTTGTCTTCTTTTTCATGAAAATACGCATTTATCTTGAATAGACGTGTTTTTCAATATCATACTGCTACTTTTAGGATGGTGATGTTTTGGGAAAGGGGGGGGGGGAGAGAAGTTCATTTAAAAGCAATAAAAGCAATAACGAATTATGTAAATATGTCCACATAGCATATTGAAAATAAAAGTGCTTGTAAACGAGAATAGAATACGCCGGTGTCATTATCTACCTATGCCCAATTTTGCACATGTGGAATGATTCATGTAATAACTACTCAACGGTTATTACAAGCAGTTTTGCCCTCAAAATTTGGCGGTTCGTAATAATGGTGTTTATCTAGGTAATAAATGAGCCTTTTATTGTCGGGCATTCCCATAGCTCAGTTGTATCATGCTTGACTACGATGGGGATGGCTCTGGTTCGAATCCCAAACTGGACGTTCTTAAACGCTTGTTGTCTTGTAGAGATTTTGGAGCTTTCAATCCATTTGGTTCATTAAATTCTGCAGTCAAATAATGTTTGAAAGGGCGTTAAATTCACACTTACATCAAGGCAGCCCTTACACACAACTTATATAACGATTTATATTACTTATAATTCACTTGTTAGCCACCTGTTTACTCAACTGTCTATGACAAAACCTGTTAGATTTGTGGGTAAAAAAAAAAAAAAGTATTCCCTAGCAACGTTGAATCGTATCAAGTTCCTCACAGTCGAGATACGACTGCTTTAAAGGGATACGATAACCGAATGCCAAAATAAGCACAATGGCGGGCTAAGTTGAAAGCAAACATTCTCGGAATTGACCTTTGTCTGCTATCAGAGGAAATGACGTGGATGACTTTAGCTGAAATAATATGTCGCTCCAGAGCCAAACTATCAACCCATGAAAACTGCAAATTGGTCTATTAAAGAAGTTCTATTATCTCCAGTCAGTGGGTACATTCTTCATGCTTCAATTTGTTGTTATTGCTTCTGTATTTGTAGTTGTTGTTGTATTAACGATTGTGGTTGTTGTTATGGCAATTTTCTTTCCTTGTTTTGTTCTATCTGATATTTTTGTTTTTGTTTTCGGGTTTGTTTTTATATTTGTTTTTGTTTTGTTTTATTTTGTTTTGTTGTATGTGTGTGTGTGTGGGGGGGTTGTCTTCTTCTTTTTTTTTTTTATTCATCTCCCATACAACGTTCTGTGCACACTCATTCAGTTTTATCCAGTTCATTATCAAAGCAAAATCAGTTCCCCATTACGAATACAGCCAACAGGCTATTCTAAATTAAAGTTACATAGTTTTACATGGGCTGTTTATCAATGTCATGTTCATACTGTGCCGGAACAACATATGGGGAACAGCCTCTTTTTCTTTCCTCATGCTTACTATCGTCGTTTTTCCTCTACTTCTTTTGTATGTTTGTCACTCTCTTGTGTTTTCAAATGGACGTAAAAGGTGATGTGTCAAAAAAGCACCCCAAAAACAGCAATAAGAAAATTGGAAGAAAAAAAAATTGCCCATTAGCCAGTAAATTCCGATTTGTTTGATTTCAATGTTTTAACGAGCGCCTGATTTCACTTCGATGCCTGATAGTTTCTTTTTATCTGTATCCCTATTTTTCTTTTTTGATGATGCTGGTAACTCTTTGAAATACTTAAAAGCTAAAAGCAAAGTTTCTTTAACCTAAGTTAAGTAGAACAGACGGCTAACTGGTTACCTGGGCTTAACAGAAGGGCATGAGAGTAAAATACCGTTATAATATGAAGAGTAAGGTCAGTAAAATGTATCATCTGGCTTTGACGTCTAAGTTAGTTTCAACAACGTCGTTTACGATAAATTGGCATGTCTGCACAGGCTTTAATCTAGGAACATTATAAACAAGGTCACATGTCGCAACGCATGTATTCATTACACCCTCCCCCCCTAACACACACACACACAAACACGGTCGTTCCATCATTCTGTGACGACTGGAGTGCGGCATCACAAGAGTGTTATAGCCTGAGTACTCGTCAATATGGCATTGGCGGTGCGTCTACTCAACGTTGCTGCGCTGATTTGTGTTTTATCCTTCAATACAGGGGATTGTTACAGAAGTACAAGTAAAGATGTAAGATGTGTTGCAATATTCTTATTCCTTTAAAAAAAAAACCAATATGTTGCTTTTATATTACATTTCGTTTTGACGCGTGATTCAACCGCATAAGTCCAATTTTTTAAAATCACTTTTTGATCCCTTTATGTAGTACAGCTTTTGATACACCTTATGTTGAAATCCCGAGTTTGATAGGTTATTGCAAAGTGGTCATGCCTTCAGTAAATTTTCCTGTTTTGTAAAATATACTTGGACATTTCCTACTTCTACGGTCAATTTTTTTAAAGGGTCAGGAGGGAGTGCTGTGTGTAAGAATAAGGGCGAGAATAGAATGTGTTGGCATGAAGGTGTGTAGGGAATTTTTGCTGTGGAAGCCCCATGATTGCTCCAAATTGAAAAAAAAAGTAACTTTATAACTTTAAAATGAAAATGTTTGAACAAAACTTTATTAACACCATGTATTTATAGCTCATTTTGGTTATTTTAAACTGTAATATCTGAGCCTATAAAAGAATATAAATTAGTTTCAAATTACATTGTGTAATTTCTGTTTTCAAGCAGTAAACTTTAGCTGTCTCTCTTACCTAAAACACTACTCGCTTCACTTTAATATTGTGTTTGAGCTAAAATAACTGAAATAAAAACGGAATGGTTTTTATTAAAATCTCTTAAAACTACTATGATTTGCTTTTGTCGATAACTCAAACGCCTCAGCGACCATTGGCGCTCGTCGAGTCATTCAAACGCCTAGACGCTGTTATACTGTCACTTAGGCGGTTGAAACATTCAGAATTTAGTAGTTAAACCGCCTAAGTCCAATAACTTACGTAAGAAAGCTTTTATAAAAAGTTGGTTACACAACATCGTCCTATATCATATTATATCATATATCTGAATTTTAGATTCATATGTACGCCCAAAAAGAACAAGAACAATAAAGAGAAAAATATAATAATAATGATAATAATGATACTACTACAACTTCTACCACCACTACTACTACTACTACTACTACTACTACTACTACTACTACTACTACTACTACCACTACCACTACCACTACTATTACTACTACTACTACTACTTAGTACTACTACTACTAATAATAATAATAACACCAATGATAATAACTTTTTTCCTTTAATACTTCGTCCACGGATATTAGGAAGTTGTCTGCTTTGTACTCTGACTTAAGATATGAAAATTTATGTAAAAGCATACCACCCTTCCCCCCCAGAAAACGAACAACAAAACAAAAAACAAACAAACAAAAAAACGAAAAAACAAAACAAAACAACATCATAACCCCCCCCCCCCCCCACCAAGTTTAGAACTGCATAACAAAGTGCACTATGTCCATGTCACCTAGAGGTTAACCGTTATGTCAAAGTTCTGCCTGCCCAGTACCTAGTTTTGATAAATTGAACGTTAAAAATCTTCTGTTTCATAGCATTTCATGCTTTTTTGGAATACAATTCTTTGAAGATCTTGATAACGATTCCAATAATCTTACAATTTTGATAAGCCGATAGAACATTCATTTGGTTTCTGACCTCATGGTATTACAGTAACTCAAAATAGCCAAAAATGTCTTATGGAACTTTGTAATGTTATGATAGCAAACTGTAGACCGCGCGAAGCATAAAAACGTGTGTATGTGTATGCGCGTGTGTGTATGTGTGTGTGTGCGTGTGTGTGTGTATTTATGTGTGTGTGTGTTTGTCTTTGTCGGGTGAGGGGGGGGGGGTGTTACACTTTACCGTGTGCCAAATCTACACTTTAATGTTTCTAAAGTATCTGCTGCAAGTTATAGAGGAAAAAAAGTTGTAATATCTTGCAGTACCTTTTTTGACGTTCTTTTTAGGGGCCGTAAGTAAGACTAAACGGGTACGGAAGATAGAAGGGCTACAAGGTTTTGAGGTCGTTTTAATGATAATAATAATAATAATAATAATAAATAACATTTGTATAGCGCATGTCCCCACTCGAAAGAAAGCTCTATGCGGTTTACACTATATTATTACCCCAGCAGACAGACCATAGAACACTCAGAAACATTCTCATCTTCCCGGGAATGCAAGCAGCTGGTTAAGTGCTCAAACACTACAAACTGACAAGATATTTCACTTTCTTTAGCTGGGTACCTATTTCCACCTGGGTAAAGTGACGAAAATTCGTGTAAAGTACATTTCCCAAGGACACAACGTCGGACCCGCTGCTCGAACCCCCGGACCCGTTTTAAGTTTCTTTTGTTGGATTTTTTTCTACGCTATAGCAATAGGATTTAAGTATGTCAAACAGCAGACTTTGGATAATTTGTAACAATCATAAATTGGATTAAAAGTCACTCAATTATGCTATTAGAATAACGATACTTGTTTTGTAGACTGCCCTGACGTATGACGTTACACTGAGAACTCAATGTTTTATCCAATTGTTACTTACGCCCTTTATTTTCTTGCCTCTCCGATGTTTCTATAATCCACAGAAACAGTATGAAAAGCTCGATGCAAAGATTGACAGAGTCGGAAACGAAGTGGAAAAGATTGGGAGCCAAGTAGAAGCACTTCTCAAACATGAATTGGGCCACCCTTCTACTACAACTTGGAATCCGTTGACGTTCGTCAGTGCAAACAGAAACCATAGTTCCGAGGGTACCACTTTCACGGTGGTCTATACATCAAACAATAAATATGCGTCTGTACACGCCAAGTGGAAAATCACAACAAATGATTCTAAGACCGGAGGAGACAGCCACGTGCTCTATTTGAACACCTTTGAGGATAGTGATAGTTCGGATAACGAGCTTTCAGCAAGTATCACATTAAAAGACAGAGGTCTTCTGGAGCTCATTGTCACGTCAGGAAGGTAAAAAGAATATGAGAGTCATTTTCATGAAATCAGGGTCTCCTCAAAACAATAAAATCAAAGAAAATAACACTTATCCGTCAGTTTGGTAATTTTTGCACTCAAAATTAACGTTTCAGGTTCATTGAAAAACATACCTCTTTGTGGATTTTACTAAAAATAAAAAACCCATTGATCAAAGGCATAGGAAATATAGATTTTTAGTTCCAAGGACACTATTATAGCTATGGAAGTCACCAAACTTTGTCCGCCATTTTCACGTCAAATTTTATCCCTGAAACCATGTGAGCCCCCACCTCCTTCATTCGCAAATATCGCGACTTCTATTCGACACAGAAGGGTAATTTTTTTCATTTAACTGTTAATGAACAGACTTTAAAATATGCCAATAACTTCTCAAACCTAAAACATGACAACAGCCTGATTTCACTGAATTGTGACATAATATATTTATTTTTTTATTTTTTTGTTGTTGAAAACAGCGAGTTTTATCAGCTCTCGTCAATGTATGGGAATATCGAGTTATTACTCTCTTCGTTAAGCTTGTTCCTTAAAAAAATGTCAATTAGATAAAAAGAAGGCTCATCAATTTTTGATAGAAGTAGAGATCATCATCATCATCCAGTGACAGATCTGCGACAGACATCGGCGATCATGTTTTCCATTCTTTCCTTTGCTCAGATGCTCTCAGAAAAGCCACGTTTCCCTGATCTTTCCTTGTTACACAATAGCTTAGGTCCCCTAAGTATGTTGTTCTGGGCCTACCCCTGCCTCGCTTGCCCTCAATTTTGTCAGTGAGAGCTAGATGTTCAAGAGCCTTATGTCTATGCAGGTGTCCCAAAAACTGCATTTGTCGTTTCCTGATTGTTTTTAACATGTGGGCTTGATAGAGATAGAAGTGATTAAAGGAGGATGTGGTTCCCGGGTATCAGAGGGAAAAAATAAGCGAGGAAATGACCACGCAAGTTCGGTATCTTCAAAACATTTAGTATGCACTGAAAATACAAATTCACTTTTTAGTTCCTTTGATCCTAGTTTTCCTCCACAAAAATTCACGCAAAAATGTGTTTTTAAATGTATATAACAGGCTATTTAAGTCTAAATATTTTAAAAAATCAATACAAATTCCCCACGATCGGAAAAAGTTGCTTTCTTTGATTTCTGCATTAATTTGATGATAACCTTATTTCTCTCTCTCACACACACATACACACACACACATATATACACACACAGACACACACACACACACACACACACATACTTATTCACGCGTCTATTAAAGCTAATTAAAGGTTTCATCTAGAACAAAACAATAATATTGTTTTTCATTACTATTTTGAGTACTCTCCTGATTAAATTGCAAGCTAACAACGTAAAAAAATATTGTTTAACAAACTTCGAAACTTTAGTTTCTGCTCGCCCTTAAAAATATTACCTGTTACTTTATTTCCGGCTTTAAAAAAATATATATAAATCATATATACATTTTTTAAAGAGTTGATTTTCAGAAACATGTTGGTTCTCTACCGTGTTCCGAATTCGAGGTTATTCTGAATCTGGAAGCTGTTTAGAGCTGACTAGATAACCTGGTAACTGGTTAAGTGTTGGGCTCATTGGGAGTAGTCATGGACTCCCCCGAGGTAATCATTATTCGTGGGATGTAATGAAGTAATTTTCTATGATTCGAATTCAACGGCAAAAAATCACTACCCGTCGAAAGCAATCAAATAATTGTCTAGAGGTGGGATTCAATAGAAGCATGTAATACTCTCCGGAAGCAATCAAGTAGCAGTTTAAGCGTCGGAACGACCGGGAGAAATTTTACCAGAAGAACTTACTATAATATGGGATTGGACCTGATTACTACGACTCCTAACTTTCAAAAATGGGAAATCTATGGTAATTGAAAGAACCCGGAAACGCACACAACTACAGTCTCTGTCTACTTTGAGGATGAATCCAAAAAACTCGCCCCCTCCCCCCTCATTCCTAAAATTAATCACTTGAAAAAAGGGTAAATGGATAAATAAATGAATAAGGATTACATAAAGAACATTTTGAGACTTTCTGCCCGTATATTGATACGTTTCTTTCACTTGAGAGTAAAAAGAAGTATCTACTCATTCTAATTTTTAAAAAGAAACATATAGCCTTTTATATAAGGAACAAAATGGACATAAAACGAATATGTTCAGATAATGAATAATATGCGAAGGACATAGAAACCTGGCTTAAAAACAAAATAATACAGACCGGCAAATACCAAGAGGCAGGGTGTTTTTATAACAGGAAGGCCAGAGAAGCAACGTCTGGAGGCTCGGGTGGTCTGGAAGTACTGTGTCCACCTCTCTTTCAATAGGTCCCGGGTTCGAGCTCTGACAACTACTGACAATTTTCTTCTTTAGAGTACTTTCTCCTTTCCTCTCTCCAGCTCTCTGATCGTATCATTCTGCCATCTGCTTTCTTCTCTTCTCTCCCC